AAAAAGAACTCTGATTGAGGAATTGAAGCGGGCGGTAAAAAAAATTAGACAAGAAGTTATTTTAGAAAGTTGTGAATCTTGGACCGTTCGTTTGTCAAATATTTCTAAAAACAGTGGATGTTATTTATGTTAATAAAAACCATTGATTCTATACAGAATTGAATAAGGAATCTTTCAAAAAAAAATTAAGTTTCTAGGATAAAAGGGGGATGAGTTATGAAAAAAATACGGAGAGGGACATTATTTATGGCCCACCCGTTAAGCAGAAGCACTCATAACATACATCTTTCTTTAAGAGAATATCTTTTGCAGCTACACTAAGTTAGTTCGGTATGCCTAGAGGAAATAAAAGGAAAAGTCAATCGCGCGGTGCATCAGCTCGTCGCTGGTCAAATGTAAAGATGTCGGATTCAAGCGATTCATCTGATGATGAATATCGAATGGATATTGATGATGAAGAATTGAATTTTAAAGACAAACTTTTGCTAACCGACATTGGTGATCTTGCTGAAATGTGCAAGTGGAAATGTGACACGAAATATCTTAGCACTTTGCTTTATATGTCGTTACGTTTCTTTAATATTAAATGGGAAGATGTCGATGAGTATTTGGAGAGCATTGGTTTTATGACCGCGAAAACTTCTCATAAATGGGCAACAGTGTTTATCGAAGGAGATTATGAAGAGTTTTCAAATGATTTACGTGGTGGTAAACAAACTGATTCATTTTATGATACGTTTTTTTGTTCATCTTAATTAGTTCATGATGAACCAACGTTTAGAAGTGGTGAAGTTAGCCCAAAACGGTGGTTTTTCAAAGAGAATACACCGGTTTTTTCAAAGGGACGTGGTCGAAGTCATATGGTATCTGATTTTCTTGTTCAGCATCCAAGTGGACCCTTTTTTCAACTTAGCGAAGATGAATGGAAACAAGCGCTTGGAAAGTATAAGTCATTAAGTGCGGATAGTGATGTTAACTATCTTAGTCGAACAGCAACAGCAAGTATTAATATCGGAACTGACGCTTACTTCGATATTAATACCATCTTAAGTCAATTTGAAAGACTCTTTGAAATGCTAGAATTCAAACAAGAATACAAGGATAATCATACAGAAATCATCGTGGACAACGCAAGAACTCATACTAAGAAAGCATATTCGTTACAAGAATTCGGTAAAAATATTGGTACTCGGTGTCCGGTGGAGAAAATCGAATATGTCGATGAAAAGGATGCAACAAAAGTTATTGATTGTTATTTTGATAAGGGGACAAACAAAGATAGGAATTTGAGTGTTTGTTCCCGAACACTAATGTGACTATGAACCATCTTTCGATGAGACATAGCGATCTCCGCAAAGTCTCTATATCCGAGTTGAAGAAAATATATTATACTGTTTCTGATTTCATAGTAGACACATCAAGATTTGATC